TGAGATTGCTCACGATTCCAGACCAGTAACTCCATATAAACCCACTGACCACAAGAAGAATAAGCAGCCCCCAATAGTCGCGCACCCATGATAGAGTAGTCATCAGTGGCAGTGGAGGGTTGATATGCAATCCCGCCCAAGTTCAAGCCAGAAATCCTGACAACTTCCTCCAAAGTTGGCGTTGTCTCGCTTGAAGGAAGAAAGAAAGTGTTCATCTGATAGTTAGACCTTTCGGCAAGAGCTTTGAGAAGTGGAAAGTTCATATGGTAAGAGGCCATGTTCAAGATGCTTATCATCGAGATTGAGGTCAGACGGGCCATGAAATCGGGCCATTACCGAGGGAAAAGAAACTAATCTCGAATCCACGACCCAATAATAGGGAAGCCATTGACACGTCGAGGAACTTCACCTGATCAAAGGCCCTGTGAAATATGAGAGGGCAGACCTTCAAGGAAGTGCTTGACCCTAGGGAAAAGTGGCAAAGCCTCCTCCTCTCTTTCATTGTCAACCCGCTCGATAACCTTTCCTTTTCCCTTGGAGATCGCATTGTCCTTCTTAGGAGCCATGAAAGCTTGAAGTTGAGAGCAAGAAAAATCTGTAAAAACAGAGGGAAGATTATGAAGAAGGGAGAGGATGAAGATGAGAGGAAGAAAATTGAGTTGAAAGATAAGGGAAGAATGGGAGGGGGATGATTTTTATAAAAAAAAAAAAACAAGAAACCTGACCCAAAACACATCCTATAGTTATCCACTTCAGCCAACAATAGGCATGGATAACCCTAAAGCCAAGAAAAATAAAAGATAAAATAAAAAAATAAATTTTTTTTGGGCGACACGCTCCATGCCTCCCAATTCCCTACTCAGACTCAGGCGACATGACCCGTGCCGCCCAAATTTTATTTTCCCAAAAAAAAAAATTGTTTTGCTTAGTGGCACATCTCGTGCCACCTAGGCGACATGCCTAGTGCCACTTGGTGACACGACCTGTGTCTCCCAGCTCTAGGCGACACGCTTTGTGTCTAATCCAAGGCACAACCACCCTGTTTCAATGGAAAAACGTCAAACTCGTGCTACGTTAACTAGCTGAGATAGGAAAAACGTCAAACTCGTATGATGTTAAAGAGCAGAGACGGGAAAAACGACAAACTGGTGCGACGTTAAAGAGCCGAGACAGAAACGTCTAGCCCCGTATGACATAAAATGTTGGATGTGTTCAGGGACCAACCATCCTGTTCAATGTGTTCAGGGCACAACCATTCTGTTCAAATGTCTAGCCCCATATGACTCTAAATGTTGGGTACATCCAGTTCAACGTCAAACTCGTGCGATGTAAAAGAGCCGAGACATGTAACGTCTAGCCCCGTATGACGTAAAATGTCGGAAGTGTTTAGGGCACAACCACCATGTTTAATGTGTTCAAGGCACAACCACCTTGTTCCAACGTCTATCCCCGTATGATGTAAAAGGATCGGGTGTATGGTCCATCACTGCATGACATTAAACTGCTCAGAGGGCTCTATGGTTGCAGGAGTTAAAACTGCTAACCAACTTTGTTTTTTTTCAAATATCTTTC